CGAGCGCAGCGGGGCTTACCTGGGACAGGGTGGAGTCGCTACAGGCCTTCCTGGCATCCTGCGGAAGAGAGGAAGAGAGGACCGGTGGCCAGTCAGCTGCAGGAAGGACTCCTTGCAGGAACAGCTCATTAGCAACCAGTCCGCGGTCCCACCCGGGCGACTGAGAAAAGCTCTCGCCGCAGGGCTGGGCAGGACGGAGGAACGAGACCGCCCCCCTCCCGCCCGGGCCACAGCGGGACGCCGGCGACCTCACCTTGATCTGGCTGCGCAGCTGCTCGGCCTCCTGCCGCAGCTGCTCCAGCTCGCTCATGGTGCCGTCCGCGCGCGCTCGGGGCGGGGTCCGCGTCGCTCGGGCAGCTGCTCACCGGCACCTGCGGGGGAGCACAGGCCCGTCAGGCCCGGAGACACACCCCTTCCCCGTCTCTGGGCACGGCCGCAGAGCCCGCCGGGACAAATCCCAACATCATCTACTACATTCAATACCTTATCGATGCCTTTATACTGTAATCACCCAGACAGAAGACGAGCTTTGCAACCCCCACATTGCAAGCGGCCTGCAGCTTCTGTTCAAATAGAAATGAAACGCAAAATCGGAAGCTGGTCTGGCCAGTGCCTGGTTCCACCGGAGTGCTGAACAGCTCTGAGCTGTAACGGACCTCCATTTTGCTTGGTTCCGGCGTGTTGTTGCAATCTCGCGATAAAAAAAAAAAAAACTTTCGGATTCATTTTTAGTCGTCCAAAATGAACAAGAGATCGCAGAACACCTCTGCGTCGAAGAGGGAGGCGATTCTGTGCGCTAAGCGTCAGGCTGGGAGACCGTTTGTAAGGGACAAGCAGCGCAGAAGAGGAAGGAAGAAAGGGTGGTGTTTATCCTAGCATTACTTATATCATCTTTTAAAATCCTCTCCCTTTAACTTTATTTAAAACACTTTTATTCAGAAAGGCATCATGTCCTTTGTCCCCGAACTGTTTCATCTGACTGAGGCACTTATGCACATTGAAGATTACAAAAATAATGATGATTTCCTTGATGAAAACCACTACGCTCCCAGTCCTCCCTGTACAGGTGTCTTTCTGCAACGCAGCCCCTGCCCAGCGGCAGAGAGAAAGGCCAAGACGCCTCACAGGGATGGGAGAGGAGGAGGAGGCAGCGAAGAGCAGTTGCTCATCGCCTTGTACAGAGGCCAAGCGGCAGGCAGGCGGAGGCTGGGCTCCGCTACCCCCCGGCAGAGCAGAGCCGCCGCCGGCCTGGGAGACCAGTCTGGGCTGGGGCTGCCACCTGGCTCATCGCGCCCGCCGACGTCAGAGCGCTGGCAGACGCCTGACCGCAGCCGGCGCTCTCGGATCCAGGGCAAGCCGGCGCCAGGCGCTGCCGAGCTCCGGGGGCCGGACAGGAGCACATGGCAGAGACCCGGGGGGGAGGAAGAGCGGAGAGTCTGGACCTGGAGGAGAACAAACTCCCTCTCTTTCATGGAACGAGGGGACTGGATGTAAAGGAAGGGGGTTAAAATGCCATCAGTCTCCGCTCAGACTTCTAATAAATACCCAGTTCACTCACACCGCAGTTGTGTCAAACATGGTAACTGGCTTTCAGAAGGCAAGGCTGTGCTCTGCCGCAAAGTCTGTTTTGGTTGTGCCGGACTGCAGAGAGCAGGTACAGTGCCTTCGCACGTCACATCTCACCCACTTCTTTGCTTACCCTTAGAAACAGGCCTTAATCGTTTAACAGAGGTCGATTTGACATTTCTTATCAAAGAACTAAGAGATATGCTCTAGTTTGTAGAAGTGCTCATGCTGCAGCCTGGATACATCCGGTGTTTCCTGCAGAGGGAGCGAGCGGAGGAGGAGCAGAGCCGAGTGGGGATGACAGCGATGTCGTCCTGCCGGACCCCCCTGTACCCCACCCACACCCCCGCGAGGCTGACCCCTTCGCTCCCGGCGCCGCTGAAGCACAGACCGACAGCTGACGAGGTCCCAAAAACACTCGAGAGAAAAATTACTTCCAAAACCAAGTTTTTTTTAAAAAAAAAGTAGTTCATACAGGATACGGGATGGCTATTTGCACTAAAGATGGAACAAACAAAAACAGGCTGGAGAATAATCAGGATGCCTTTATATTTCCTATATAAACACCGCCACCCTGTAAACAAAAGGGCTCTCGCTGGATTGAGCCTACTCCCTGCACTGTCGGCTCACATACAGCTTCTGCGTTTAAAGAACAGACGCTCTGGGAAGCTGGTCAGCGTACAGACTTCAAAGCCCCGCCTCCACGCCCACGAGAGGTACCAAGGCACTCCAGGCCACAGGACGCAGCCGCAGCCAGGAGCAGCCGCAGGCCTGTGCCCTGCACTGAGCTTCACTCCCGCTGCCTGTCGCCCTGCCCCACTTCTGCAGCATCACAACGGGACAGGCAAGGGGACATGACCTTGGTTTTCCAGGTCACGCTGCTCCTCCTGCCTCTGCACTCTGCTCATCTGTGGTGGAGGGGCCTTCGACAACGCAGCCCCACAGCACAAAACAGGAAGTGACCCCGCCCACTTGAGCCCGAGCCCCGCCCACACCCACCCTGTAACAGCCGAGCTCCGCCCCCTACCCTCCGCATACCCAATCAGCACACTGGAATCGGTGTCCCTCTGCCACCAGTCCAGCTCAGTACCAAGGCTTCAGCTCCAAAGTGCGCGCACACCCCCCTCCTTCAACCCTGCAAAACCTCTCAAAGCCTCACCGCCAGGCGAACCCCAGCTGGAGAGAAATGCACGTCGCTCACTGGGGTCAGGAGGAACTGGCCTGCCCCCCCCTCCACTACTCCTCAAGAACATTAAGCCAAAGGCTGGCTCACTCAGCACAGACAGGTGGGCGAGGTCGCCTCGTGAACGAGGTCAGGCCGCGGCCTCTGAAGGGACAGTTTATCGCGGAGCGCGAGAGGCAGCAGGATCCGCGCCAAGGGCGAACGAGCAGCGGAGCTGAGGAACGAGCAGCCGGCAGAAGCAGAGGCACCGGGAGGCGACCGTGAAAACCAGTGACCTCGTTCGAGCAATCTAGAGCTTCAGGAGGAGAATCGGGTCAAAGTCAGTTAAAAGGGATGTCCCAAGATTAAATGCAACAACAAAAATAAAAGCTGCACAAGCTTAAACCGTAGATGTATTCGTCTGATCATATAGCACAGTCAGAATGACCGGCGCGCTGCTCAGAAAACGATTTCCTCTTTGTCATGGAAAATGAACACAAACAAAAGCCAGACCACAAACACACAGAACTCGAACTATCCACTCACATGGGTTTCCAACACACGAATGTTGACAGTCCATCGGTTTTAAATCCGGAGCCGTGCTCTTCACAGCCCTACTCGAACACCCATCTATCGCCACCTATTCCTGTTGTGCTACAGGAGAACTTGAAACACGAGTTAATTTTCCAAATGTCCTCGGATTAACAGTTTATGTGAAGGGCTCTTCAATTATCAGGAGCAATTTTGTTACAGCACAGAATGTTTTTTCCCTTAAAAATTAAAGACTTAATTAGTAGGCTATATTTAGAAATCTAAATAAGAGATAATGTGGAGAACTTTACCTACTTTTAAATTGGAGTTCATGAAATCACAATTCTCAACTAAGCAGAGTGCATCGTTAGCACAGCTACATGTATAAACCACGTTGTCTTCATGAGTGTAATCCTGTCATTTAACAACCACTTTAAGTCCTGAGTCTACACACATGAAGAGACACCTTCTAGCCAGTACTGAAAGTACCACAACAATTTGAACATTATTCCCCAATTAGTGCCAGAAGAGACTAAAGGAGAATCTAATTTTATTTCTGCATTTTCTTCACAAGTCAATCCAAGCGCCAACAAAAACTAAGATCAGGGGTTCCAAGGAAGAGATGCAGTTGTTAGTTCAGGACTCCAGAGTCTAAACTAAACCGCTTCAATCCTCAGGAGCAGCTTTCCTGCACACTGTTCTTCTTCTCTTGCCTGGTTTGCAAGCCTTAAAAAAAAAAACTGTTACACGAGAAGGATACACCAGAACTCCACAGTTTACCTTAAGACCATCCAGGCTTTTCTCAGGAAGGGCACTAAGTGATGGAAACTCTGAAGGTGAGCTATACTGCGCCATGTGCCACATACAACTAACACACTGCCCAATGCATTCTATCTGGCAAACAAAACACTCTGCGAGCTCCCTTTTTTCCATTTAAAACGAATGAGATGTCCCGATTTCTTAATCAGGCTTCGTGATCCTCTCTCCAGTGCCAGTGGAGTCCGACCGGTCAGGAGGAACATGTCCGCGTCTAACTCGCCTCTACACTACAAACAGCTCCTCCACGTGCAGAAACGGCACTCATCTGATCGAAACCGAACCGCGGCGCACAGCAGTACTGAGGGCCTGGAAACACGGCCTTTTCCGAGACGCGACAGGAGAGGCTGTTAACTTGTCGGATGCGGACCCAACAGCTCTCCTCTTCGCCGTCTCGGGGCTCAAGCTCAAGGGATCCCAGGTCGGATCCGGACTGCTGCTCATGGCCACCGGGAGCCGGCGGCAGGCAGGGGGCGGGGCAGCTCTTTGAGACGAGGCCCCGCGTGGCCGACGAGATCAAAACTGATCACCCCGGAATCCGGGGCCACAAAGGAGGAGGGCCCCCCCGTTAGCCCTTTCCTCAACACCGTACCCCTCCGCCACAGAGGGAGAGCATCAGTCCAAAAGCGAGAAAAGAGGATCCGGCCCTTGTCCCCCACTTCTCTCCGGCCAGGTTGCGAACGGAACTGGAAATCTCTCTCCCGGCGGGAAGTGTATTAAACACTGGAGCAACACGTCACCCAAAGGCAGAGGACCGCTGAAGGCTGACACGGGCCGGCGACGGCCGACCAGCGTCAGCAGCCCCGACCCCAGATTGACCCCAGGTGACGATGTACCCCCCGGGCAGCAGGAGAGCCTCGGAGACGGAAACTTCCCAACCACGCGCGGGCTCGGCTCAGGACGAGCGCTCCCTACACGCCAAGTGCGGAAGATTTCAAGAAACAAGATGTGGGGGGCAAAAGATTTTTTTGCCCCCCAAAAAAGCTTTAGAATCGGCTCCACCCATCATCAACACCCCCCGTGTGAGAGGGCGGGAGGGGTCAACAAGCTGGAGGCTGGTGCCTGAACCCCCTTCCTTTGGGGGCAGCAAGGAATGGGGTATTTGTATGTTTAAGTGATGTGAAGTGGATGTTTCTGTGCGCATAAAACACAGCCCCTTGGATCTCAAGAACACATTTTTGAGAATGAAACGTATAATCGTATTGTACTGATCGGTTATAAACTTTGAGTGCCTCTATCATTCATAACCTGTCTTCTGGGTCACTCGTGACAGGATTTGGGGATCGCCAAAATCATGACGGCAGATTTGCCCTTTGACCTGCTCAGAGTATTGCACGTCAACTACTGAATTTAAAACTCTTTTGTGAAATAAAAATATGGTTCTCTGCACCACTTTGAAACATTTTACGATGCCACTCACAAACAACTGGCTTATATGTGCGACGTCTGAAAGGAGAATAAAACCGTCCACTGCAGTTCCTTTACTGCACTGCGAGTAGTCACAACGTGCCCGATCTTTCAAGAAGATCCTAGATGAAGCTGGAGAAGGTGGTTCCTAGCTCCAGTGAGACAGTTGAAGCCCATTATAATTAGAAAACAAACAGCAGTGTAGTATTAAGGCTGGGAAAAAAAGCTAGAGGCTTTGATCTCGTTGTCTGTCCTGAGCGCTGCCCACGTACATCATAACACATTCCCTCTGAACGCTTCTTCAAACGAGGGCGGGGAACAGGAAGGAGTTCCTCTGCCATTTTTAGCCTAAATGATTCCAGCGCCGAAACTCACAGCGAGCAGGAAGACACAGAAGCTTGCTTCCTTGTGAGGAAGGGAGCAGAACTGGAACAAAATACTGCCGCCGGGGTAGCAGATCTCTGGGCAGTGTCCCACTGCCCCACACACAAAGGCCGAGCTCCAAGCCAAAGATGAAAAACATTCAATTTCCTGAGAAACGAGCAGAGATACAGTGTGAAAGTGACCTGACTCCGAAACGAAAGAGAAAGCAAGAGTAAGGTATTTGTTTTGGCCACCACAGAAAGGTTACTGTAGCAAACAGGCAACTTGTAAGGTTTTACAAAGGAAGTGAAGAACTGCGACAGGGCTGCAAATCCCCCCTGCAGCTGGAACATGATAAACCCAATATTTTTAGCCAAATTAAAAAAAAAATATGGTTCAAACCAAAATAAAAGTGTGCACAAATGTGAGAAAAAAAACAAAACAAAAAAGACTATTTCAGAAGCATACAGACAGACAGGCATCCAGGGTTTGATTCTTTTGGCAGAACAGGAGGGTGTTCACAAGGGTGGTGGGAGTGTGGAACCAACAACCCAGGCGTGTGGCTGAAGCCGATCCCCAGGCTTCCCCGAGACTCTTCATCATCGAGCAAAAGCACAGCTTAACAACAGCAGAGACGGGCGGAGCTGGAGGAGATCCTCAGGCCGATTAAGCTCTCGGGCCGAGAGGGCAGAATGTCTTCCCCCTCGAACCTGTAACCCACCCCGCAGTGCCCCTGGCCTTCCGGGGGTCCCACAGCGCAGAGGGGCAACCGGGACGCCAGCATAACCCCCCCAGCTGCCAGGGTCAGGGTAGATCTCAGAGTGTCACAAAGAGCACAGGTCAGCTACCTCACCTACAGCGCATCAGTAAGGCTAACGGGTTACCCTCTCCTGCACATCTGTAGCATCCCTAAATTAAAATCGCCTCTGCAGCGAGGGTGGAAAGGCACAGGTTAAAGGTCAAAGGGTAAATACGACGCCCCCCTCTAGAGTGGCCACACTCTACCACTTGGGATGATGTTCCCCACTGCTCAGAAACCGAAAGCTAAGATTCCCGGTGTGAAACTGAATTGTTTATTTCTCCCCTGGATTAAAGGGGTACCCACAATGAGGCCAGCGAAGTGTGCAGAAAAGCAGACCCACATGACCAAGGTATGACACACTGTCGTAGCTCAGATTCTGGCTTGAATTAAGATGTCTAACGTCCACATCGCCTCTATTTACGCTTCACACTCAACAAGCCCCATCTGTGACCAGCGCCACCCCCCCGAAACGACTTCTGGTAGCGATTCATGAGCGCTTGGCGTCTACCTGGTCAGGTGCACTGGTCGAAAACGACGCTTCAACGCGATTAAAAAAAAAAAAACAACAACAACAAATCTGCCGACACACTTCGGCATCTGTAAGCGCCGGCTTCTCTCCTATTATAAAGAATATAAAGATATTTTTCCGAGACGGAGTCGCAGCCCAGAGACGAGACTCGCCATCATCAAGCGACAGCGCAGATTAACGAGAGGCGAGCGATACAGGCGTTTAGGTTTAAAGTCCCCCTAACCACCCATGACAAAGCAGAAAACGGCACTTTTAAGCCCCGACGGCGCTACAGGATTCATAAATCGGCACTAACGCAGGCAGCACGAAACCCGCAGGCCCGACGGTAACCTTGCACTGGGGCGCAGCCGGCTCCCGGGCCGGCAGCGCATTTTCTGCCGGGTCTCGGCTCCCCATCCCGGGGCCTCGGCCTCGGCCCAGGCCGGCCCGCCTCACCCGAGCCCGGGCCGCGCAGCTCGGTCTGCGCCCCGGGGGGTCTCCGCGCTCCCCCGCCGCCCCTCCACCGAGATATAGAAGATAAAAAAGGGTTTAAAAAAAAAATCCACCTCCTGGCGCTCGTTTCGCTGCCCAGACAGTCGCCTTTTCCCCGGGAAACAGCGCCGCGACCAACCCCGACAAAGGACACCTCCCGGAGCCGCACGGACAGGAAGGGAAGCGAGCGAGCGGCGGCGAAGACACCAGCCCTGCCCCTCCTGGCCGGGCCGGGCCGGGCCGGGCCGGGCCGCTCTCGGTACCGGAGAACACGGGGACGAGCGAGCAGTTCCTACCTCCTCCTCCCCCCCCCGCGGCCGGGTTATTTACCTGCGCTGGGCTCCGGGGGAGGGGGGGGGAGGAGGGGCGAGTCTCGGCGATCTCCTTCTCCACCGGTGCGCCTCCGATCAGATCCCACACATGGCCGCCGCTGCTGGTGCTGCAAAGCGGAATTTATAATTTTACAAAAAAGAAAAAGAGCAAGACGCTTCTGAGACTTTGATTTGTTTCGTCTCGTTTGCTCGTTCGTTCCCTCCACCCCCCTCCCCGGTGCTAATTAGAATACGGCGCAGTTTCCCACCCCCCCAGTTACCGATCCAGGCGAGCGCGGATTTAAAGGGCCAGCTGCACCCTGCTCGCCACACCCAGGCAGGCGCACACGCGGGGAGGGGGGAGCCCGGGCGGGGACCACTTAAAAACTCCCTCTCCCCCCCCCGCCTGTCAGTCTTCGGCACACACTCGCCCTGGGCTGCTCGGGGGTGGGGCACTGCGGGGCAGATGCGCGCCCCCCTCCCACCCCGCAAACCGGAGCAGGTTGTGCGAGCGCCACCCGCACC